CTCCAGTCTGGGCGACAGAGTGAGACTCCAACTCAAAAAAAAAAAAAACTTGGCATGCTAGTGCTTGCCTGTGGTTCCAGCTGCTTGGAAGGCTGAGGCAGAAGGATCACCTGAGCCTATCAGGTTGAGGCTGTGGTGGCTGTGAACATGCCACTGCACTCCAGCCTGGTCAACAGAAGAAGACTGAGGCAGAAGGATCACCTGAGCCCAGCAGGTTGAGACTGAGGCGCCAGTGAATGCGCCGCTGCACTCCAGCCTGGGCGGCAGAGTAAGACTCTGACTTAAAAAAAAAAAAAAATTAGCCAGGCCCTTACCTATTTGGGTTCTGGTCTCTTGCTTGAGCTTGTCTTGTGACTAATCTGATCACTAGCTGTTCACATATAATAGTAAACTAATGACACCCCCAGATAAATTTATCACCTCTGTTCCAGCTTCTTTATTTTGTTAAATTTTTTTTTTGAGTTGGAATCTTGCTGTTGCCCAGGCTAGAGTGCAGTGTCAAACTCGTGGCCACCAGTTTCAACCTGCTGTGCTCAGACGATCTTTCCGTCTTAGCTTTCCAGGTAGCTGGAACTATGGGCATGCCCAACCTTGCCTAGCTAATGTTTTGATTTCTTGTAGAGACGAGGTCTTGTCAAGTTACCCAGCCTGGTCTCAAACCCTTGGGCTCAAGCAATCCTCTTACCTCAGCCTCCTGAAGTACTTGGATTACAGGCGTGAGCCACTGTGCCTGGCCCATTTTGTTAATACTTTAATTAGTCCCACTTGTTTTGGAGTCCCATGTGACAGGCCTTCCAAATACTCCTCATCTTTTGGTAGAATAGATAAAATACTAATCTGTCTTCAAGGTGTTAGCGCTCTTCCTTAAAGGCAGTGATTTTAACAGTGATCTCAAGAATTCCAGGTACTGGAAGTGCTTCAAGGATACTTGGAAACTGAAGACTAGGTACAGGTGTTATGGAACAGAACAATCTCCCCTACCCACCATCCAATTCAATTAAACAGTCCTGATTGATATTTGAATTCTAGGATTCTGTTGCCTTTTTTTTTTTTTTTTGAGTTGGAGTCTCACTCAGTCCCCCAGACTGGAGTGCAGTGGTCGCTCCCCACCATAGCCTCGCCTACTGGGCTCCGGCGATCCTTCTGTCTCAGCCTTCCAAGTAGCCGGAATTACAGGCATGCGCTACCATGCCCAGGTGATTTTTTGATTTATTGTAGAGATGAGGTCTCGCTGCTCAGGCGGGTCTCGAACCTGCGGTCTCAGGCAATCCACTCACCTCAGCCTCCCAAAGGCGCGGGATTACAGGCTGAGCCACCGAGCACAGCTTGTTGCTTTTTTTTTTGAGTCACTCAGGCAGGAGTGCGGTGGTATGATCACAGCTCACCACAACCTTCAACTCTTGGGCTCAAGTGATCCTTCCACCTCAGCCTTCCAAATAGCTGGGACTACAGATGTACACGCCACATGCCTGGCTATTTTTATTTTTTGTAGATGATGTGGTCTTGCTATGTTGCCCAAACTCCTTGCCTCAAGTGATTCTCCTGCTTTGGCTCTCTGTTGCTATATTTTAAAAGAGTTTGAAAACCACTAATGTGCCATTCCTGTAATCACAGCCCTTTGGGAGGCAGAGGCGAGGGGATTACCTGAGCTCAGGGGTTTGAGACCAGCCTAAGCAACATGGTGAGACCTCATCTTCATAATAAGTAAAAAAAATCATCCAGGCGTGGTGGCAAATGTCTGTGATTCCAGCTAGTTTGAAGGAAGGCCGATGGGCAAAGATCGCCTGAACCCAGCAGACTGAGACTGTGGTTACCCTGAGAGTGCCACTGCGCTCCAGCCTGGGCAACAGAGCAACACTCCAACTCAAAAAGAAGAAAGAGTTCATTGTGGATTTTTATTTAAGGGGCAGGAGAAAAATAAAAAGTTACCAAATTGATTTTTTTCCTCTAGAAATAGGTATTTGCCTTGAAAATTAGTAAGTACTACCAAATCAAGTGAGATTGAGCCAAGTGAAGTATCTCAAAGTAATTCTGGCTCTTGGTATTTTTACTAACCTATCAAATAGTTCTGGTTAAGATGTCTTTCTGATAAATAATTTTCAGATTTCCCATGTACATGTTTCCTGTTGAGTTACTTATTTTCTACAGTTAATTCTTCCATGTGGGGAGGAGGAAGGAACGTTATAGTTCAGAAACTACCTAAATGCACAGCCTTCACTATATGGAGAATGGGCCACTTGAGACCCAGTCCCTACCACTACACAGTATATCCATGTAACGAACACTCATGTGTACCCCTGAATCTAAAATTTAAACAAAAAATTAAGGTGGGTGCAGTGGCTCATGCCCGTAATCCCAGCTCTTTGGGAGGCAGAGGCAAGAGGATTGCTGGAACGTAGGGATGTGAAACCAGCCTGGGGAATTTGGCAAGAACTCATCTCAACAATAAATCAAACAATTAGCTGGGTGTGGTGGTACACGCCTGTAGTTCAGGCTACTTGGAAGACTGAGGTGGAAGGGTCTCCTGCGCCTAACAGGTCAGGGCTGAGATGACTGAGTGTGTTACTGCACTTCAGCCTGGGAATCAGAGTGAGACTGCAACTCAAAAATAAGTGAATAGGCTGGGTTTGGTGACTCAGCCTGTAATCTTAGCACTTTGGGATGCTGAGGCGAGTGGATTGCCTGAGCCCGTGGGTTCCAGACCAGCCTGGATAACTTGGTGAGACCTCATCTCTACAATAAATCAAAAATTAGCTGGGTGTGGTAGCGTGTGCCTGTAGTTCCAGGTACTTGGAAGGCTGAGGTGGATGGATTGCTGGACAGCCTGGGCAACGGAGTGAAACTTCAATTTAAAAAAAAAAAAGGATCAAATAAATAAATAAATAAATGATTCTTCCATAAAGATACGTGGCTTTGAATGTTGTCTTGCCTATGCTTAAACTTTGTAATAGGCAGATTGGTATTCTTTGATTTGTGAAATGGGTAAACTTATGGGTTTTTAGATTATGGAAAAATAAATTGAGAATTTCTCTAAAATATGAATGATTTTTCCCCCCTTAGCTGATGTAAGCAATGGTACAGTAAAGAAAGAGTCTTCTAATAAAGAAGTAGCTAGAATATGGATAAATGACATGAAAATGAGGAGTTTTTCCCCGACCATGGTGAGTTTCAAATAGCTGAATCTATATTTTTGTATGTTATGAGAGTATACTTTACAAAATGTCCTAGAGCAACCCTCAGAAAACTTTATTTATTTTTATTTTTATTTTTTTAGTGAAAAGGGCTATTAGGTTACATGAACTAATGGATAAGCTTAAACACCACTGAAGAAAACTAATACATTAAACAGTGTGGTTAAATTTGCAAATTTAATAGTATGTGGTATTATACAAAGTACTGACATCTTTTATTGTGATCTCACCTGATTGGAACAAGAGCAATGTGGGTTAACCAAAAATATTTGATAAGAATGTTCATTTTAGGAGTGAGCTTAAATGCATGGTTGCTTATGAGCTGGAGATCGTAGAATGGTCTAGTTATATGTATATTAGAATTATTTTTTTCTTAACCTTCTGGAAATGCTGTATGCTCTGATTGATTCTATACATTTATTTAACAACTTCTCTGTGTATAACACTGTATATGTAGTAGGTTTTTTTGTTTTTGTTTTGTTGTTGTTGTTGTTGTTGTTTTTAGTTGGAGTCTCACTCTGTCACCCAGGCTGGAGTGCAGTGGCACGCTCATAGTCACTGCAGCCTCAGGTGATCCTTCTGTCTCAGCCATCCAAGTGGCCGGAACTACAGGTATACACCACCATGCCTGGCTAATTTTTTTATTTTTTAATTTTTTTATTATAGAGATGAGGTCTCACTAAGTTGCTCAGGCTGGCCTTGAACCCGTGGGCTCAGGCAATCCTCTCACCTTGGCCTTCCAAAGTGCTGGGATTATAGGCATGAGCCACTGTTCACGGCTTATGTAGTAGGTTTATAGAAGAAGTATACTACATGATTCCACCCTCAATAAACATAAAATTTGACAATCTCTCAGATTAAGTAATATAACACATCGAAAGTTATAATGTGCTGCTTACAATAAGGGTTTAGAGTTTGGAAATAAGCCAGGTGTGGTAGCACGTGTCTGTAGTTCCAGCTACTTGGAAGGCTGAGACGAAAGGATCACCTGAACTCAGCAGGTCAGGGCTACAGTGGCTGTGAGCATGTACTAAACTCCAGCCTGGGCAACAAAGTAAGACTTCTACTCAAAAAAAAAAAGAAAGAAAAGAAAAAGAGTTTGGAGGAAGCTGGGCATGGAGGCTCTCACCTGTAATCATTTTGGGAGGTGTAGGCTAGAGGAGTGCCTGAGCCCACAGGTTCAAGGCCAGCCTGAGCAATGTGGCAAGACCTCATCTGTATAATAAATAAATAAATAAATAACTGGGCGTGGTGGTGCATGCCTGTAGTTCCAGCCACTTGGAAGACTGAGGTGGAAGAACCAGTCTGAGCCCAGCAGGTTGAGGCTGCGGTGGCTGTGAGCATGCCACTGGATTTCAGCCTGTTTGACAGAATGAGACTCTGACTCAAAAAAAATAAGTTTGGAGGAAGATGAGGCCCCCATGAACTCAAATGGCCTGGTAGACTTAATAGAAGAGATGTAATGGAGTTTAGGTTTGAGTATGACGAGACATTGAGAGGGTATTTTAGGATTGGAGCTAAAGCATTCATAGGCACAGAGGAGGTGGTGGCTATTTAGATGACAGTAAGCCAGAATGCTTGGCATGTACGAAAAAGTGGGAGTGGTAGATTTCAGCTTTGTGGAGGGTCCTGTATTGAGTTTGAAGGACTTTGGATTTTATGTAGTACTAGCAAGGAGCACTGGACATGGAGGGACCTGCTGGTGATTCAGGATGGGTGAGGGCAAGGAAGAGAGAAAGGTTGGCAGGTGGATAAATAATCTAAAACTTAAGTAAAAAGGGGCTAAACCTAGGGGTCTTTGCAGAGGAGATTGGAAAAGGGTACGAGGGAGGAGTAAAGGAGATAACTGCATATAACAATACCAAGATGATGGAACTGGGGACAGTACAGCAACCTGTTCTTGAGGGTTTTTTTTCTTTTGAGTCAGAGTCTCACTCTGTCACCCAGGCTGGAATGCAGTGGCACACTCACGGCCACTGCAGCCTCGAACTGCTGGGTTCAGGTGATCCTTCTGCTTCAGCCTTCCAAAAAGCTGTAACCACAGGTATGTGCCACCACACTGGGCTATTGTAGAGACGAGGTGTTGCCATGTTGCTCAGGCTGGTCTCGAACATCTAATCTCAGGCAGTCCCCTCACCTCTACCTCCCAAGTGCTGGGATTATAGATGTGAGCCACCGCACCTGGTTGTTCCTGAGGTTTTGAACTGAATCAGGAGAACATATACTCCAGGCAGTACTCAGTTTACTTAGTGATTGTCTTCCAACAGCACTTGGAGGTTGAGTTTTAGAAACTAACAATGCATTTTTCTTCATGAAATGTTTCATGTAGTGCTCATGTTCCTGTTCTAGCCCATAGTATACCAAAAATTCTATATTGGCCAAGAAGTTAAGAAACATCTACAGCCCGCGCCTTTGGGAGGCTGAGGTGAGTGGATTGCCTGAGCCCGCGGGTTCGAGACCCGCCTGGACGGCGAGACCTCATCTCTACAATAAATCAAAAAATCAGCCGGGCGTGGTAGCGCGCGCCTGTAATTCCGGCTACTCGGAAGGTTGAGGCGGAAGGATCGCCGGAGCCCAGCAGGTCGAGGCTGCAGTGGCTGGGAGCGGCCACTTCCAGTCTGGGCGACAGAGTGAGACTCCAACTCAAAAAAAAAAAAAGAAAGAAACATCTACAGGGCTTGCAAACCGGTAGCCTGTGGGCCAAAACTAGTTGACAGAAGTATTTTGGTTGGCCTCCACAGTGTTTTGACTGATTTTGAATTTGTTGCTGATACTAAAAAAAAAAAAAAATTCCTGATTTCTAGGTTCTCTTGAAAAACAGTATGATTCCCTACCTAGTGTTGAGTAGTGAATGTCTGTCTTGTGTGTTGCTCAGGCATTCCCCAGGTACCACAGTCTCCCTTACCCTCAGTTAACTTTGATTGTAAGCTTGATATTAGTTGCCATATCACATTTACCTAGCATAGAAGTATTGCCTCTTTGGTCCCTTGATTTAGTGATCCTTCAGTATTACCAGTTTATCCTCCAATTTTACCCTGGTGATTTATTTTTTTTGGAGTTGGAGTCTCACTCTGTCACCCAGGCTGGAGTGCAGTGGCATGCTCATGGCCACCCCAGCATCGACTTGCTGGGCTCCGGCGATCCTTCTGCCTCAGCCTTCACTTCCAAGTAGCCAGAACTACAAGCACGTGCTACCGTGCCTGGCTAATTTTTGATTTGTTGTAGCGACGAGATCTTGCCCAGTTACCCACACTGGTCTCGAATCCCTAGGCTCAGGTAGTCCTCTTGCCTGGGCCTTCTAAAATGCTGGGATTACAGGCATGAGCCACCACATTCAGTGGTACACAGTTATTTCTGAGAACATCCCAGTTTTTGGATTTGATCTGAAGATTTCATGGGTTAATGTTGACTGAATGGTTAGACCTTAACTCTCTTTTCCTTGCCCCAGTTATTGACTATCTATGTGCCAGCATATTCTGCTCAAGATTCTGAGGCTAAAAAAAAGAGAGAAAAGTGCCTGTTCTTACCTTTCAGTGCTGTCTTAACCTTGCCTTAAACTTTGTCTTGTGGTTTCTGATTGAGTTTTCCTTCTCCTCTACTTCCCTTCCTTAGTGTACTAGGTTTCACAGCATTTCTTTATACTCTTCCCTGAACAAATGCATGTTAATAGACAGCTTCCTAATGAATTTTTTTTTTTTTTTGAGTCAGAGTCTCACTCTACTGCCCAGGCTGGAGTGCAGTGGCACGCTCATGGCCACCATAGCCTCGACCTGCTGGGTTCAGGCGATCATTCCACCTCACCCATCCAAGTAGCTGAAACCACTGGCGTGCGCCACGACACCTAGCAAACATTTTGATTTGTTGTGTAGAGACGTTGTCTCGCCGAATTGCCCTGGCTGGTCTTAAACCCCTGGGCTCAGACAGTCCTCTCCTCTCCACCTCCCAAAGTGCTGGGATTGCAGGTGTGAGCCATGGCGCCCAGCTCCTAATGATATTACTGGTAATAAAAAGAGACTTGTTCAGTGTCTTTTTATTCTTTTCTTAATCTCTTCTATCCCTTTAAGATCCTATAGAGAAGCCAGGTTCGGTGGCTCAGCCTGTAATCCCAAGCCTTGGGAGGCTGAGGTAAGTGAATTGCCTGAGCCTGTGGGTTCGAGACCCGCCTGGGCAACTTGGTGAGACCTCATCTCTACAACAAATAAAAAAATTAGCCGGGTGTGTTAAGCGCGCACCTGTAGTTCCAGCTACTTGGAAGGCTGAGGCGGAAGGATTGCCGGAGCTTAGCAGGTTGAGGCTGCGGTGGCCAGAAGCAGGCACTGCACTCTAATCTGGGCGTCAGAGTGAGACTCCAACCCAAAAAAAAAAAAGAAAGATCCTATAGAGAAGCCGGGTGCAGTGGCTCATGCCTGTAATTCGCAGCACTTTTGGAGGTGGAGGCTAGAGGATTACTTGAGTCCATGGGTTTGAGACCAACCTGGGCAATTTGGTGAGACCATAAATAAATAACATAGTAAAATTGAGTTGGAGTCTCACTCTGTGCTTAGGCTGGATTGCAGTGGCATGCTCATGGCCATCACAGCCTTAACCTGCTGGGCTCAGGGGATCCTTTTGCCTCAGCCTTCCAAGTAGCTGGAACTAAAAGTTTGTGCCACCACACTCAGCTAATTTTTTGATTTACTGTTTTGATGAGGTCTTGCCAAGTTACCCAGGCTGGTCTCGAACCTGCGGGCTCAGGCAATCCTCTCACCTCAGCCTTCCAAAGTTCTGGGATTATTAAAAGCTTGAGCCACTGTGCCTGACCTGGCTAACTGATAGATGGTCAGTATTGCATCTGTGGAGACACAGACGTCTGAAGTATATTCTGTGTTCTTCAGAAGAGCCTTTAAGGTCTAGTCTTCTGGGGATTAGGTTTTAGGATATTTGGGAAAGTAGACAGATGAGGGTGAATTTGAAAGATGAAGAGACATGAGAGTTAGAGAGGTTCTGCCTGTGATGATGTAGGGTGTGTGCTGAGGCTCACTCACCTATTACTGGGGTTCGTTCTCTTTCCAGGACTAGAAAGAGCAAGCCATGGTCCTGAAACTGGAATGAAGAGTAGGACTGAGGGTGGAGATAGTTCTGGATATCATGGAAGGGGGGATGGTAGGCAGTATTGAAGGGGACAGTAGTTTGAGTTGATGGTGGCTGGAAGGACATGGAGCCCTGTGGTGACCCATTTGTGGGTAAGGTCATAATTGTGCTCATCATTCGAGATACAGGGAAGCCATGAAGTGTGACCCAGATTTAGGGGATATTGCAGTGGTTTATCCTGTTTCCGAGATGAAGACTGTAGGTACTCCTACAGAATTGTCTTCTGTGTTTAACTAAGCCTCTGGTCTCTGAGCTTGGGATTGATTGTGCCTTTTCTGTGTTATAGAAGGTCCCTGTTGTAAAAGAGGAAGATGAACCAGAGGAAGAAGATGAAGAAGAAATGGGTCATGCAGAAACCTATGCAGAATATATGCCAATAAAATGTATGTCTTTGGGATTTGTCAAAATAACGAAAGATGTCTGGTTTCCTCTTAAACTTAAATTACACTCCTACACACATTGTTATTTGTTGGTTACCTCAAGAGCTGACAAGTATGAGCTTTGTATTATGTTTTGAAAATATTTGCATGAAAGTTTTACCATGGTTTTTTCCCTTAAATAAATTTTGAATCTTGTTTTAGGTTAAAGTCTATTAAAACCAAAACTAAAGAAGCTTGAGTTTTATTTTGTTTCAAGATGATTTTGCTCGTATGAGTAGTGATTAGAAAATCGAACATAAGCTTGCCCATTGGTTTATTCTGTGTGGCTGCTTTGACACTACAACAGCAAATACTAAGAGACTGGATACATGGCCTGAACACATTTTCTAATCCTTTATCAAAAAACTTGCTTCCCGCACTTTGGGAGGCTGAGGTAAGTGGATTGCCTGAGCCCGCGAGTTTGAGACCTGCCTGGACAACTTGGCGGGACCTCATCTCTACAATAAATCAAAAAATTAGCTGGACTTGGTAGCGTACGCCTGCAGTTCCAGCTGCTTGGAAGGCTGAGGTGGAAGGATCACTGGAGCCCAGCAGGTCGAGGCTGCGGTGGCCAGGAGCGGCCACTGTACTCTGGTCTGGGCGACAGAGTGAGACTCCAACTCAAAAAAAAAAAAAAAAAAAAAACCTTGCCAACCACTATTTTAACCTATTCCCATCGTATGTTTTAGGGCATTAGTTGCTCTTTCACATACTGTTCTTTTTTCTTTTCTTTGTTTTGAGTCAGGGTCTCACTCTGTTGCCTAGGCTGGAGTGCAGTGGCATTATCAGGCTCACCACAGCTTTAACCTCCTGGGCTTAGGTGATCCTCTCACCTCAGCCTCTCAAGTAGCTGGGACTACAGGTACATGCCACCACACCTGGCTGATTTTTAAAATTTTTGTAGAGACAAGGTCTCTCTGTGTTGCCTAGGCTGATATCGAACTCCTGGGCTCAAGCAATCCTTGCGCCTTGGCCTCCAGAAGTGCTGGGATTACAGCCCACATACCTTTCAAAGTAAAATTATTTTGCTAACTTTTGTTTCAGTGGATGATTCAAGTAGCTAAATTCCTAAACTAGAATTATATACTGTTATTATTAGTGAATCTAAGTTGGTTTTTTCTAGATCTTTTTTATCAGCAAATCCCTATTTGAACCATATGTAGTTAATCAACCATTTTAGTCAAATCTAAACAGTACCTTATCATCAGTGGCTTTTTCTAGAAGCCTAGTATGAATATTTATTTACTTATATTCTCTGTCATAGGAAAAATATTGCAGTATCTTGTAATAAAACTGGAAATGTTATTACCTTGAATAATTAAAATAAATATTTCTAAATTTTTGTTTAGTAAAAATTGGCCTACGTCACCCAGATGCTGTAGTGGAAACTAGCTCTTTATCCAGTGTTACTCCTCCTGATGTTTGGTATAAAACATCCATTTCTGAAGAAACCATTGATAATGGCTGGTTATCAGCATTACAACTTGAGGCAATTACATATGCAGCCCAGGTAAGCAATAATATTTCATAATCGCATATAATGTTTATCTTCTTATCTTAGTTCATATAATATAGTTTTTAATCTGATGGTAAGTTTTCCATGCATAAAAACTTGTAAATGCAATTTTTATAGAATTTTGTGTGTTAGAAAATAAAAAGGTATAGCAGGGATATGGAGAGTGCATTTCTAGTGGAAATGACAAATATTGGAACTTTGTTGGAATTTGGTGGGAATATCTATTAAAATTTCAAAATACATATATCCATTTCTAGGAATCTTTTCCTGTTGAGTTGTTAATAAGAACTTAGGTAGGTAGGTAGGTAGATAGAGAAGTTCTATTGGGGAGTAATTTAATAAACTGTGGTGTTACCTTATTGTTGTGTGGGCTTTTTATTTTTTTGAGTTGGAGTCTCACTCTGTCGCCCAGACTGGAGTGCAGTGGCATGCTCCCGGCCACCGCAGCCTCAAGTTGCTGGGCTCTGGCGATCCTTCCGCCTCAGCTTTCCAAGTAGCTGGAACTACAGGAGCGTGCTACCATGCCTGGCTAATATTTTTGATTTATTGTAGAGATGAGAGCTCGCCAAGTTGCCCAGGTGGGTCTCGAACCCGCGGGCTCAGGCAATTCACTTACCTCGACCTCCCAAATTATGGGATTATAGGCTGAGCCACCGAGCCCAACTGTGTGGGCTTTTAAAACAATGTGAGGTAGAATTATACTAGTTGTTTTGAAATGATTTTGGTCGTAGTTTCATGTCTATAAAATAAGTCAAAACCAGAATAGTCATGTATCACCCAGATTATGTGTGATGTAAAAGTTTGTATTTGATTTTGTAGGTGTTGAAAGGAGTGTGGGGGGGTCCTCATCAATTTCCTTCTTTTTTCCTTTTTTTGTTTTGAGTTGGAGTCTAACTCTGTCGCACAGACTGGAGTGCAATGGTGCGCTCAGGGCCACTGCAGCCTTGACCTGCTGGACTTTGGCGATCCTTCCACCTCAGCCTTCCAAATAGCTAGAACTACAGGCGTGCACCACCACGCCCAGCTAGTATTTGATTTATTGTAGTCACAAGGTCTCACCAAGTTGCTCGGGTTGGTCTCGAACCCGTGGGTTCAGGCAGTCTACTCGCTTTGGCCTCCCAAAGTGCTGAGATTGCAGGCTGAGCCACCAAGCCTGGCCCTCACCAATTTCTTTCTTTTTTTTTTTTTTGAGTTGGAGTCTCACTTTGTCGCCCAGACTAGAGTGCAGTGGCAGCTCCCGGCCATCGCAGCCTCGACCTGCTGGGCTCCAGCGATCTTTCCGCCTCAACCTTCCAAGTAGCCGGAATTACAGGCATGCGCTACCACACCCAGCTGATTTTTTGATTTATTGTAGAGATGAGGTCTCGCTGCCCAGGCGGGTCTCGAACCCGCGGGCTCAGGCGATCCACTCACCTCAGCCTCCCAAAGGCGTGGGATTACAGGCTGAGCCACCGAGCCCGGCTCCTCACCAATTTCTTAACTGTAATTACCTGGTATATGAGAGGGTAGCTGGTAAGAATATATATAAATATGTAGAAAGTATCTACATTAAAAACCAAACTGTATGCCATTTATATAAAAATAGGTAATATCAATATGTTCCTAAAACAGTGTATGACAGATTGATCACCAAAATGTCTGAAGGACTAGATTAATTATCGGCCTCTCCTTTTTCAGCAACATGAAACTTTCCTACCTAATGGAGATCGTGCTGGCTTCTTAATAGGTGATGGGGCAGGTGTAGGAAAAGGAAGGACCATAGCAGGAATCATCTATGAAAATTATTTGTTGAGTAGAAAACGAGCATTGTGGTAAGTGCTCAAGACTGGCTATGAAAGCTTTTGCTGGTGAATAATTACTTTAGGATGTGGGGATGGGTTTTAATGAGTAGGTGCATTTTTTTTTTTTTTTTGAAGTACTAAGACCTGGCTTTATTTATTCCTGCATTCTGCTAAAATGTTGTAATTTGCATTTGTTTGTATGTGTGTTTTTAATGGCAGGTTTAGTGTTTCAAATGACTTAAAGTATGATGCTGAGAGAGATTTGAGGGATATTGGAGCAAGAAACATTTTGGTCCATTCATTAAATAAGGTATGAAAGCTTTCTATATGGTTAGTTATTTAGTAAATATTGACTCATCTGTGAGATAGGAATAATAACAGTTTCTGCGTTAGTGTTGTAATGAGGATTAAATGAGGTATTCAACAGGAAGCATAATAATGAGTGCTCACTGCTATTGCTGGTTTGCAGGCATTAGCCACTTGTCACATGTGGTTATTGAGCAGTTGAAATAACTTGTTCAAGTTGAGGTGTAGTGTAAGTCTAAGATACACACCAGTTTATTCTCTCAATCTTCAATGTTATTTTTCTGTTTGTTTCTATAGTTCATATGGGTGTAAAAAGTGCTCTCTAGACAGGTAGCATGTCCAGTGCTGTAGGTCACTAAATCCTATGCAGTGTATGGAGAATTGTGGCTTAAAGAGAGTGGTTTCTTTTTTCTTTTTTTGAATTGGAGTCTCACTCTGTCGCCCAGACTGGAGTGCAGTGGCACTCTCCCGGCCACCACAGCCTTGACCTACCGGGCTCTGGCGATCCTTCCACCTCAGCCTTCCAAATAGCTGGAACTCCAGGCGCGTGCTACCACGCCCGGCTAATTTTTTTGATTTATTGTAGAGATGAGGTTTCACTAAGTTGCCCAGGTGGGTCTCGGGCTCCCAAAGTACTGGGATTGCAGGCTTGAGCCATTGCATCTGGCCTCTTTTTTTTTTTTTTTTTTTTTTTTTTGAGTCAAAGTCTCAGTGGAGTGCAGTGGCCTTCTGGAGTGCAGTGGCCTGCTCATGGCTACCCCAGTGTTGACCTACTAGGCTCAGGTGATCCTTCTGCCTCAACCTACTAAGTAGCTGGAACTACAGGCACACGCTACCAAAACTGGCTAATTTTTTGATACATTGTACAGATGATGACTTACCAAGTTGCCCAGGCTGGTCTGAAACACTGACCTCAGGCAGTTCTGTTGCCTCAGCCTCCCAAAGTGCTGAGTTACATACTTGAGCCACCAAACCTGGCTATTTTGTTTTTGTTTTTGTTTTTGTTTTGGTAGGAATTTTACCTGTCACCCAGTCTGGAGTGCAGTGGCACACTCATGGCCACCGCAGCCCCGACCTGCTGGGCTCAGGTGATCCTTCCCCTTCAGCCTTCCAAGTAGCTGTTGCTACAGGCACATGCCACCTCATCCGGGCTATTTTTTGATTTATTGTAGGGATGAGGTCTTGCTAAATTGCCCAGGCTGGTCTCGAAGCCATGGACTCAGGCAATCCTCTCACCTTGGTCTCCCAAAGTGCTGGGATTATAGGCATGAGCCACCACACCTGGCCTGAAATCTTTTTTATTTCTAGTGTTAGAAGGACACATTCACTGTTAATTCATAATTCTTATGTATCCCTCAGAACTTAATAACAGTGCTTTGTATATAGTAAGAGTACAATAAATATTTGTAGAGTAAATACTGTGCCAAGTTGTCCTATAGCAGCGTTTTTTGGTGATAGAATTTAAGATAATGAGTGCTGGATTTTTGTACTGTAAGGTTGTATGTGTGTACATGTATACAAACAATTTTGTATATCTTGGGGTTTCTTTGACTTTTTTGAAGCCTGTCATGTGCTTACTGTTGTAAGAATTACTGCTTGTTGAAGTTAGAGTTGGATAAATGCTTCTGAGAGAGGTATACTAATTAAGTTCTTTTCTTTTTTTAGTTTAAGTATGGAAAAATTTCTTCCAAACATAATGGGAGTGTGAAAAAGGGTGTCATTTTTGCTACATACTCTTCCCTTATTGGTGAAAGTCAGTCTGGTGGTAAATATAAAACCAGGTTAAAACAACTTCTACATTGGTGCGGTGATGACTTTGATGGAGTGGTATCCTTTAAAACAAATGTTTTTATCTTTTTTAACAGCCCAAAAATTATATAAGGATAACCTTTGGGAAAACAGGAATCCTGAGATTAAATAAATTGTTGGATTGAGAACTTGAATTATTACATGGAATGAAGCAGGGGGTTTGGAAAGTTGATTCTATTTTTATTTGTCAGATAGGAGATCAGTATACTGCAATGTGATATGTTTCTTAACTTGTTCCTCACAGATAGTGTTTGATGAATGTCATAAAGCAAAAAACTTATGCCCTGTTGGTTCTTCAAAGCCAACTAAGACTGGTTTAGCAGTTTTAGAGCTTCAGAACAAATTGCCAAAAGCCAGAGTTGTTTATGCTAGTGCCACTGGTGAGTAGTTATTTATTTTAAAAGATATATGTAGGTGATTTTGTCAGCTATAATATACTTTATTTGGGGGTTTTTCAGGTGCTTCTGAACCACGCAACATGGCCTATATGAACCGTCTTGGAATATGGGGTGAGGGGACTCCATTTAGAGAATTCAGTGATTTTATTCAAGCCGTAGAACGGAGGTAATGCAGTTGACTGGATACACTGTTGTCAGTAGCAATCTAAAATGTGTCATTGCTAAAGCCCCTTCACTGCATGTTAAAATCCTATTTTATTGATAGTTACTGTATGTTTTAATTTTATTCAGAGGCGTTGGTGCCATGGAAATAGTTGCTATGGATATGAAGCTTAGAGGAATGTACATTGCTCGACAGCTGAGCTTTACTGGAGTGACCTTCAAAATTGAAGAAGTTCTTCTTTCTCAGAGTTATGTTAAAATGTATAACAAAGCAGTCAAACTGGTAAGAAATTTTTCTTGATTCCTAGTTTTTTTTTTAAATGTATCTAATAATGTATCTGTTAGTTAGTTTTGTTCATTGTGATGTCTGCCAGCCCGAGGAAATGTGTTTTTGCTATAAGACAACAAATCTACCACCAGATATTAGACCATTGAACCGATATTCTTATTTTCCAGATTTTTCAAGTTTTCACTTTGTTTAGGTGATTTTTTTGTGAAAGCTATTTCAGGTGCATAGTTCTTAATATTAGAATTTCCTGAAATGCCTACCCTGCATTAGATAATAAAGAAATTTGAGTATCTATTCACAGAAACAAAGAACTGAGTGCCACATGTTCTCACTCATAAGTGGACCCTGAACAGTTATCATAATACTACAAGAAAGGGATTAGCAGTAGTGGGAAACTGCCTGGGAGAGGGGAGCATACTTCATCAATAAGAATCCCTGATCTCAAATCAGGTGAAGTAGGGATCAAAGTAAGGCCCAAACTTTACCTGTACAATTACCATTCATATACCTAACCCTAAATTGTATCCTACATCATTAAAATAAAAATTAAAAAAATAAAATGAGAGCCAGGCTCGGAGGCTCAGCTTGTAATCCTGAGCTTCGAGAGGCTGAGGTGAGTGGATCGCCTGAGCCCGCGGGTTCGAGGCCCGCCTGGGCAACTTGGCAAGACCTCATCTCTACAATAAATCAAAAATCAGCCGGGCATGGTAGCGTGTGCCTGTAATTCCAGCTACTCTGAAGGCTGAGGTGGATTGCCGGAGCCCAGCAGTCGAGGGTGCGGTGGCCGGTAGCGGCCACTGCACTCCAGTCTGGGCGACAGAGTGAGACTCCAACTCAAAAAATAAATAAATAAATAAAATGAGGAACGAAAAAAATTTTGACAACTGAGGATCCTGCAAAGCAATTGATTAGAGATTTCCAAGTTGCTGGAGATGCCTTATTATGCTAATTTTAAATGTTTTTGAACTTAACATTATTTTTTTTTTAATTGTTGAGTTGGAATCTCACTCGGTCGCCCAGACTAGGGTGCAGTGGCTGCTCCTGGCCACCGCAGCCTTACCAGCTGGGCTCCAGTGATCCTTCCGCCTCAGCCTTCCGAGTAGCTGGAATTACAGGCATGCGCTACCATGCCCGGCTGATTTTTTGATTTATTGTAGAGATGAGGTCTCGCTGCCTAGGCGGGTCTCGAACCCGCGGGCTCAGGCAATCCACTCACCTCAGCCTCCCAAAAGCGCAGGATTACAGGCTGAGCCACCAAGCCCGGCTTAACATTATTTTATTTTATTTTATTTTTTTGAGTTGGAGTCTCACTCTGTCACCCAGACTGGAATGCAGTGGCCGCTCCTGGCCACCGCAGCCTTGACCTGCTGGGCTCTGGCGTTCCTTCTGCCTCAGCCTTCCAAGTAGCTAGAACTACAGGCAAACGCTACCACGCCCAGCTAATTTTTTTGATTTATTGTAGAGATGAGATCTCTCCTGCCCAGGCGGGTCTCGAACCCACAGGCTCAGGCAGTCCACTTACCTCAACCTCCCAAAGGCACGGGATTACAGGCTGAGCCACCAAGCCTGGCAACATTATTTTTATTGAATTGGTCATTTGCAAATAACTGCACTTAATAATGAAATATCTAAAATGTTGATTTTGTATGTTCAGTGGGTCATTGCCAGAGAGCGATTTCAGCAAGCTGCAGACCTGATTGATGCTGAGCAACGAATGAAGAAGTCCATGTGGGGTCAGTTCTGGTCCGCTCACCAGAGGTTTTTCAAATATTTGTGCATAGCATCCAAAGTTAAAAGAGTGGTGCAGCTAGCTCGAGAGGAAATCAAGAATGGAAAAGTAGGTTGGAGAACTCTTTAAAAATTAATTCTTTTTGGTTATGTTGTTTAATCTTTATGGTTGTTCAGGTTTTCTACTTGTAAAATCTAGTCTTCCTAAATGATAATTAGGAAGCTTTAATGTAATAAGACATTTACATGTGTATTTTTTTGTTATTGTTTTTTATTTTTTTTTTTTGAGTTGGGGTTCAAACTGTCACTCAGGCTGGAGTATAGTAGCATCATCACAGCTCACTGTAGCCCCTGCCTCCTGGGCTCAGGTAATCCTTCTGCTTCATCCTCCCAAGTAGCAGGGAGTACATGCTGGGATTATAGGCATGAGCCACCACACCTTGCCCTAAGGCAGTAAGACATTTTTGTTTTTATTTTTGAGTTGTAGTCTCACTCTGTTGCTCAGGCTGGAGAGCGGTGGCATGCTCATGATCACCGCAGCTTCTACCTGCCTCAACCCTCCAAGTGGCTGGAACAGGCATGCGTTACCACCCCTGGCCAGTTTTTAATTTATGGTAGAGATGAGGTCTTGCCATGTTGCTCAGGCTGGTCTCAAACCTGTGGGCTCAGGCTATCTCTTGCCTCAGCCTTCCAATGTGTTGGAATTACAAGCATGAGCCACCACACCTGGCTAGTGAGACTTTTACTTTTTTAATTCTTTAAAATTAAAAAAAATTTTTTTGAGTTAGAGTCTCTCTCTGTTGCCCAGGCTGGAGTGCAGTGGCACGTGGCCTTTACCTGCTGGGCTCAGGTGATCCTTCCACCTCAGCCTTCCAAGTAGCTTGAACTATAGGCATGTGCCACCATACCTAGCTAATTTTTTGATTTATTGTAGAGATAAGATCTCGAGATGCAAGTTGCCCAAGCTGGTCTCAAACCCATGGACTCAACAGTCCTCTCAACTTCGGCCTTCCAAAGTACTATGATTATAGGTGTGAGCCACTGCACCCAGCCTAGTAAGACTTTTTAAAAATAGATTTTTTTAAATTATAAAAGCAATGCCTATTTACAAAATTTAGAACTCAAAAAAGTATAACCAAAAAAAAAATCACTTTAATTTGTTCATTTATAACTATCACCGGTGATAGCATGTGGGTGTGTATTGTCATAAAGTTGTTTTCTTTTTGGTAAATATTTATCTGCTTAAAGCACAAAGGACTTTAAACTATACAAGGGCAGGGCTTCAGTCATGCTTGCTGCTATAATCCTACTTCCTACTTGAGGTTTTGACGCATAACATGTCTCAAAAATGTAGAATAAATAAGTGTATGCTTATGGGATCTTTCTTGTTTGAAATCTTTATTTATTTATTTATTTATTTTTTTGAGTGGGAGTCTCTCTCTGTCGCCCAGACTGGAGTGCAGTGGCCGCTCCCGGCCACCGCAGCCTTGACCTGCTGGGCTCCGGCGATCCTTCCGCCTCAGCCTTTCGAGTAGCTGGAACTACAGGCGCGTGCTACTACGCCCGGCTAATTTTTTGATTTATTGTAGAGATGAGGTCTCGCCAAGTTGCCTAGGCGGGTCTCGAACCCTCAGGCTCAGGCATTCCACTCACCTCAACCCCTCAAGGCGCGAGATTATAGGCTGAGCCACCGAGCCCGACTTGAAATCTTTATTAATTTTGTTTTTTACTAAATCTTTAAAATGCCTTTATAAGAAACTTATATAAACATTATTTATAATTGATATTTCTTTTTTTCTGCAGTGTGTTGTAATTGGCCTGCAGTCTACAGGAGAAGCTAGAACATTAGAAGCTTTGGAAGAGGGCGGAGGAGAATTAAATGATTTTGTTTCAACTGCCAAGTAATGGTTTTGGTTTTCTTTTTGAGTTTTTACTTAGATTAGCTCAAATGTTGGCATTTCGTTGAGACAAAACTTGATTTACCTGTATCATCTTTTAAAGTTTTCCTGATCTGAGTTTTTGGAATGTCCTTTTGTATAACTATAAAGTATGTGAACTAACAAACAGAAAGCCTTGATTTTTTTCTTATACATCTTAGAAATCTGTGACAACTTGGTTTAGTTTCTGTTTCTGTGGTATTTTTGTTAACTTAAAATTACCATTGTTATCCAGAGGAGTAGTAACTGTAGTTTGCTCCAGTATAGCAAGGTCTGCTTGGAAAATTGGAAGTAAATGTGAGATCTTTAAAAACAGCTTTCAAAACTGTTTTAGGCATTGTTCTCAATTTGCCACCCTGCTAGTTCTATCTCTGACACTGAAATTCACAAAGTAATGGTTGCCACATTATTGTTGTGTGCCTTAGGGTATACATTCAAATGATCTTTCTTTTTTTTTTTTGAGTTGGAGTCTTACTCTGTGGTCTAAGCTGGAGTGCAGTGGCATGCCCATGACCTCCCTAGCATCGACCTGCTGGGCTCAGACGATCCTTCCACCTTAGCCTTCCAAATAGCTAGAACTACAGGCACGCTCTACCTCTCCCAGCTAACTTTTGATTTATTGTAGAGATGAGGTCTCGTCAAGCTGCCCAGTCTGTTCTTAAACCCACGGACTCGGGCAGTCCACTCGCCTCTGCCTCCCAAAGTTTTGGGATTACAGGCTAAGCCACTGATCCTGGCCCAAATGCTCCTTTTAAAAGCAAAACATGACCCTCCTAATCTGTATTTTTCTATACCTAAGTGCCTAGAACTTCAGTATCCAGAATGGCAGCCACTTGTCATGTGACTGTTGCGCAATTGAAATGACTAGTACAAAGTGATATGTGCTGTATGTTTTATGAACCAAGTTTCAAAGACTCCTTAAGAAAATATGATTAAAAAATACCTTACTGATTACATATTGATGTGATATATAAGCTAAATATTTTATTAAGTTTCACCAGGGTGTTTATTTTTTTGAGTTGGAGTCTCACTTTGTCACCCAGACTGGCTATCTCAGCCTCCATCAGCTGGAGTCAGGTGGTCCTTCTACCTCAACCTCCCAAATAGCTGGAAATACAGGCATATGCAACCATGCCTGGCTGAGATTTTGATTTGTTGTAGAGATGAGATCTCACCAAGTTTCCCAGTCTGGTTTTGAACCCCTGGGCTCAGACAATCCTCTTATCTCCGCCTCCCAAAGTTCTGGGATAACAGGCATGGGTCAACGTGCCTTGCACCACCAAGTTTTTTTTTTACGACTAGAAAATGTAAAAATTGTTGATGTAGCTTGGCTTTCAATATTCAGTTGGACAGCCTTGGCCTAGACAGTTAAAATTCATTTGAGTTGTGTTATTATTTTGTAAAATTGAGCAGGCTAGATTTTAGTATATCGTGAGACTTTACATATAGTAAATTATTGTCAACTGCAACAGTGATTGTCACTGTTTTTATTCTGTAAACAGAGGAGTGTTGCAGTCACTCATTGAAAAACATTTCCCTGCTCCGGACCGGAAAAAACTTTATAGTTTGCTAGGGATCGATTTGACAGCTCCAAGTAACAACAGTTCACCAAGGGATAGTCCTTGCAAAGAAAATAAAGTAAAGAAGCGTAAAGGTGAGTACTTAAAATAAATAATCGATATTGAAAGTACCATACATTTGAGCATTATGAAGCAATTATATTTTGTGAGTGAACTATTCCTTGAATTCACAAGTGGATGCATGTTTTCACTGTGACTTGTATAATTTTTTTTTCCTTTTTTTTCTTTTTGAGTCAGAGTCTTACTCTGTTGCCCCGGCTAGAGGGCAGTGGCATGCTCAGGGCCATTGCAGCCTCTACTTCGTGGGCTCAGGCAATCTTCTGCCTAAGCCTTCCAAGTAGCTGGGACCACAGGTGCACACCACCACGCCTGGCTACATTTTTAAAAGATTTATTGTGGAGACGAGGTCTCGCCACGTTTCCAAGACTGGTCTTGAACCCCTGGGCTCAGACAGTTCTCTCACCTCTGCCTCCCAAAGTCCTGGGATTTTAGGTATGAGCCACGGCATCTGGTAGCTCTTGTAATTTTGAATGCACAAGTAGGTCCCCTGCTTTTTGTTGTTCTCTTGTTTTTATTTTTTAAATCTTCTAATTGTTAAAAAAAAAAAAATTAAGAAGGTCGGGCTCGGTGGCTCAGCCTGTAATCCCAGCACTTTGGGAGACCGAGGTGAGGGAATTGCCTGAGCCCGCGGGTTTGAAACCAGCCCGGGCAACTTGGCGAAACCATGTCTCTACAATAAATAAAAAATTAGCCAGGCGTGGTAGCATGCCCCTGTAGTTCCAGCTACTTGGAAGGCTGAGGCAAACGGATTGCAAGAGTTCAGTAGGTCGACACTAGGGTGGCCGTGAGTATGCCACTGCACTCTAGCCAGGGCTACAGAGTGAGACTCCCAAATCAAAAAAAATTTTTTTAAATTTTGTTTTACCACCAACTCTACTTCATTGGGAAAAGAAATTAAAAATTCAAAACATTTTTGTATAGGTGGGGTCTTGCACTCCTGCTCTTGAACCCAGGCAATCCTCCTGTCTGCCTCCCAGAGTACTGGGATTATAGGCATGAGCCTCCGGGCCAACTGCTCCCAGTTTTAAATTATGGCTTGAACTGGTGCTTAGCACTGCATTAAACCTTTACTCATACATTCTGTTGTTTATCTTATGTAGGTCCATATGAAATTAGATCTTATTTTTCCAGTTTTTTTATTTTTGAGTTGGAATCTCATTCTGTTGCCCAGGTTAGAGTTCAGTGGCATACTCACAGCCTCCCCAGCATCAACCTGCTGGGCTCCGGCGATCTTTCTGTCTCAGCCTTCCAAGTAGCTGGAACTACAGGTGCACATTACTATGCCTAGCTAATTTTTGATTTATGGTAGAGACGAGGTCTTACCAAGTTGCCCAGGCTGGTCTCAAACCTGTGGGCTCAGGCAGTCTACTCGCCTCAGCCTCCCAAAGTGCTGGGATTACATACTGAGCCACCAAGCCCGACCTATTTTACCAGTTTTTTTAAAAGGACATTAAACCACAGAAAAATTAAGAGGTTAAAGAATTTTTCTAGGTTCACACAGGTCATTAATGATGTGTTAAAACTGTTTGCTGTGGGCAGGTCCATACAAATCTATCCCTAAAAGTCCTAAGGAGGTGAGAGACCAAAGAAAGAAACTGACACAGGCAGTTTCTTAGAAAGAAACATTTAATAGGGATTTAAGAACAAAAGTTATATCTGTGTCTTGGGCAGTGTTGAGACCAGATGGTGAATCCATGCATCATTTCTTCAGGCCCAGGGCTTAAGAGATGTATAGGGTGAGTGAAGTATGATAACAAAGTTTGTTTGACCTAAGGGCAGAATTTATGATAAGTACATGCTCTCATACAAAGAACAATAGATAATGGAAATCTTAGAGGTTTTCCCAGAACCAGGGTTAATCAAAAGTCAACAGGTAGCTTAGCATCCAACATGGAGTTGTTTTGGCCTCTTCAGGAACTAAAATCTAGGTCTTTTTGTTTTTAGTGCTGCCTTTTAATATATGTAGAACTGGGTGTTTTAATAGTGTTTTTTCATGAAATTTCTGTTTTTATTTAATTATTAGGAAATAATCACCCATTTTGTTAGTTTTATTTGCAAATGTGCATTTGCATTTAAGTGCTTTCTAAGCTGCTTGACTTTCAGAAGTAAACTTCTCAGGCTTTTATTCTCCAAAATGATGATACTAACTTAATATATCATAAAGATTAATTGTGATACTGTGTGTTAATAGACCTAGTGAGTGCCTGTTACTTTAACCATACACATTCTAAGATACATGGTCTTTCACATTTTCAATATGCATGAAAATGGGTTTGCTATTATGATTTAACTGGCAATATTTTTTTATTTTATTTTATTTTTTGAGTTGGAGTCTCACTCTGTCGCCCAGACTGGAGTGGAGTGGCACGCTCTTGGCCACTGCAGCCTTTACCTGCTGGACTCAAGCTGCCTCAGCCTTCCAAGTAGCCAGAACTACAGGAATGCGCTACCATGCCTGGCTAATTCTTTATTTTTTATTGTAGAGACAAGGTCTAACCATGTTGCCCAGGCTGGTCACATACCCATGGACTCAGGCAATCCTCTTGCCTCAGCCTCCCCAAGTGCTGGGATTATAGTCTTTAGCCACCATACCTGGCCTATGGGAACTTTTTGATGTTCTTTTTAGTTTTGACTGGTTTGTTCTTTTTATTTTTTCTGAATATTAAATAAGATAGTTCAAATCAGTATATTGTTTACCTTTAATGATGATGTTTTACAAATTAGTTTTTCTAACATTCCATGTCTGTAAACTGTGTCAGGGATTCTGTTTTAATTCTTTTTTTTTTTTTGAGTTGGAGTCTCACTCTGTCACCCAGACTGGAGTGCAGTGGCCACTCCCGGCCACCGCAGCCTCGCCTGCTGGGCTCCGGCGATCCTTCCGCCTCAGCCTTCCGAGTAGCTGAAATTACAGGCGCACGCTACCACGACCGGCTAATTTTTGATTTATTGTAGAGATGAGATCTCGCCAAGTTGCCCAGGCGGGTCTCGAACCCGCGGACTCAGGCAATCCACTCACCTCAGCCTCCCAAAGGCGCGGGATTACAGGCTGAGCCACTGAGCCCGGCCTGTTTTAATTCTTTTGTCACAAATTTGTTTTGAAATTTGTACCCTGGAAGGAAGTCTTGAGTTAATACTTATGTATCTGATTTCTTCTTGAGAATACTTGTGGATAACTTGATTTCTTATGGTGTCCAAAAGGTTAGTGTTTGTTTATGAATTTTATTTGTCTTTGACTTAACTAAATGGTTTTCCTCTCTATTTTTCATTTGAATTTACTCACAAACTAAAATGGATCTCGAGAAACTTTGTATTTGGGCTGACTCTCTTCTTTGGTGTTATGGGTAGGTGAAGAAATAACGCGAGAAGCCAAAAAAGCACGAAAAGTAGGTGGCCTTACTGGTAGCAGTTCTGATGACAGTGAAAGTGAATCTGATGCCTCTGATAATGAAGAAAGTGACTATGAGAGCTCTAAAAACATGAGTTCTGGAGACGATGATGATTTCAACCCATTTAGAGATGAGTCTAGTGAAGATGATGAAGATGGTAAGTTCATCAGTATATTAAATGTAAACTAAAGTGGGTAGTTAATGATGTACTTGAGACCAGGCTTGGTGGCTAGGCCTGTAATCCCAGTGCTTTGGGAGGCCGAGGTGAGTGAATTGCCTGAGCCCGCGGGTTCGAGACCCACCTGGGCAACTTGGCGAGACCTCATCTCTACAATAAATCAAAAATTAACCAGGTGTGGTAGCATGCGCCTGAAGTTCCAGCTACTTGGAAGGCTGAGGCGGAAGGATTGCCAGAGCCCAGCAGGTCAAGGCTGCAGTGGCCGGGAGCGGCCACTGCACTCCAGTCTGGGTGACAGAGTGAGACTCCGACTCAAAAAATAAAATAAAATAAATAAATAAATAATGTGCTTGAAATGATGTACTTGAAAATGGGGTGTTAAACCTTTCTTTCTGTACAGTACAAATGGCCACACAGATTGTAATCTTTGCTTGGTGGAGAGTTCCAGGCTTGTCTGTCTTCTCTTGTCTTGTCTCATATTTGTACTGAGTGTATTTGAGTGTAGCTGATGATGAGTTACAAGTTTTCAGTTCACAGTGCAAAAAAATTGAAGTGTTGTTTCCTTTGAAGAATCTGTACTTGTTTAACAAATCATTTAACATATGTCTTTCCTTATCACTCAGATCCCTGGTTAATCAGAAAAGACCACAAGAAAAACAAAGAGAAAAAAAAGAAGAAAAGTATAGATCCAGATTCTATTCAAAGTGCCTTATTAGCATCAGGTCTTGGATCAAAACGACCTAGTTTTTCATCTACACCGGTTATCTCACCTGCTCCTAATAGTGTACCAGGTATCCCTGTAGAAATTAGCTTTTTCTTTGAAATACACTTTCAAATAAAACAAATATGTGAAGTTTGTACTGATTTGTAACAAATGTTTTTAACCTAGCTAACAGTAACACCAACAGTAACAATAGCCTTATAACAAGTCAGGATGCTGTGGAAAGGGCCCAGCAGATGAAGAAAGACCTACTTGATAAGCTAGAAAAATTAGCTGAAGACCTCCCTCCTAACACCTTGGATGAACTTATTGATGAACTTGGTGGCCCTGAGAATGTTGCTGAGGTAAATATGACTTGATTAGGCCTGTGTCTCTTCTTGGTAACATTTTTACCACTTTTAATTTGTGCAGAATGAGTGGTGTAAGAGCGTCATCACATAACAGTCTCATCAAATTCTTGTTCTAGTTGTCATTCTATACCTGCCCCCTGTATCTGAGCATCTGTCCTGAGCTAGTGGTCTGTTCTGCACTCAGCACGCAGCTTTTGTGCTCATGGCCACATGTCAGCTTTTTTCAGGGACGATGTTGAAGTGTTCTATATTCCCTGGTGTCTGGGGCAGTACGGCTTCTGTTTCTATCTCCCAAATGTGTTTAAGAAAGGAGCTCTGAGCTCCATGCACCACTGTCAGATACCTTCATTATAATGACGCTGTTTGGCTTCTCAGATGACTGGCCGCAAGGGGCGGGTTGTGAGCAATGATGATGGAAGCATATCTTACGAGTCAAGATCTGAACTTGATGTGCCTGTGGAAATACTGAATATTACAGAAAAACAAAGGTTTATGGATGGAGATAAGGTATGTTTTTCTGGGATGCTTTTTGGTGAAAAGCACAGTGCCCATACGATTCAGATTAAGGTTTAGAGGGCTTGGTTTTTTGTTTTGTTTTTGTTTTTGTTTTTCTGTGGGGGTTTTTTTTTTTTTTTTTTTTTGGAGTTAGGGTCTCACTGCCATTCATGCTGTAATACAGTGGCACAATCACCATTCACTGTAGTCTCAACCTCCTGGGCTCAAGTAATCCTCGACCTCAGCCCCCTAGGAGTACAGGTACATGCTACAGCATCCAGATAATGTTTTGATATTTATTATTTATTTTTTCTCAACACCCAAGGAGGTTGATGTTTTGATTTTTTGTTGTTGTTGAATTGGAGTCTCACTCTGTCACCCAGACTAGAGTGCCGTGGCACACTCCTGGCCACCATAACCTTGACCTGCTGGGCTCCGGCGATCTTCTACCTCAGCCTTCCAAGTAGCCAGAACTACAGGTGCGTGCTACCACGCCCGGCTAATTTTTTTTGATTTATTGTAGAGACAAGGTCTTGACAAGTTGCCTGGGTGGGTCTCGAACCCACAGGCTCAGACAATCCCCTTGCTTTGGCCTTCCAAAGTGCTGGGATCACAGGCTCAGCCACCAAGCCTGGCTGATATTTTGATTTTATATAGAGAGAATGTCTCACTATGTTGCCCCAGGCTTGGCTTGAACTACTGGGTTCAGGTTTTTTCCTTTTAATATAAATCATGTCTATTGAGTGTTGTCATTCTGTGTTTTTAGTAATTCCATGTTCACTGGATATTTTATAAATTTTTATTATAATAAATTGAATGTAATGAATGTTGTATGTTATGCATAAACTTAGACATGACTCTTGATAGTTTTGGAGATCTTTGAAGAGTTTAACCAGAATATAAAAATACTGTGTTCTCTTAGTGTCATAATAACATCTAATGTCACTCTAGTTTCATTCTAATTTTGAGTCTAGAGTGATATTTCAGTGTGTCCAGCTTAGTATATCCTTTGCTGTTTCTTTTATTGCTATAGTAAGATTTTATTACATGTTATAGTAAGAAGATTTAATGTGAGTGACTTATAGATTGAACTTCCATATTTGAGCACTATCCAGAGAGTTTCTATAGACTCTTAATGTTAAATGAATTTCATCAAACTTAAGGTTTTCAGAGCCATTCTTTTCCATCTAGTTGGGAAAACTGTAAGCATTAGCGAGGTGATTGCTAAAAAATAGGTAACATCCCTTCAAAATGACTCCTCATGCAGCTCATTCCTTAATTTAAAAAAGTAGAATAATACCTATAGTCCCAGCACTCTGGGAGGTGGAGACGAGAGATTGCCTGAACCCAGGGGTTCAAGATCATTCTGGGTAACTTGGTGAGACCTTGTCTCTACAATAAATCAAAAAATTAGTTGTGCGTAGTGATGTATGCCTATAGTTCCAGCTACTTGGAAGGCTGAGGTGGGAGGATTGATTGCCTGAGCCTGGCAGGTCAAGGCTATGGTGGCTGTGGGTGTGCCACTGCACTCCAGTCTAGGTAACAGAGTGAGATTCTGACTCAAAAAAAAGTGAAGCCGGGCTCGGTGGCTCAGCCTGTAATCCCGCGCCTTTGGGAGGCTGAGATGAGTGGATTGCCTGAGCCTGCGGGTTTGAGACCTGCTTGGGCAACTTGGTGAGACCTCATCTCTATAATAAATCAAAAAAATTAGGTGGGCGTGGTATCACACGCCTGTAGTTCCAGTTACTTGGAATGATCATCAGAGCCCAGCAGGCAGCAGGTCAAGGCTGCGGTGGCCAGGAGCGGCCACTGCACTCCAGTCTGGGCGACAGAGTGAGACTCCAACTCAAAAAAAAAAAAAGTGTGTGTGTGTGTGTTGTGTATGAATGCTGCCATGATGGTATTCACCTGTAGTCTGGGCGACAGAGTGAGACTCCAACTCAAAAAAAAAGTGTGTGTGTGTATGTGTGTTGTGTGTTGTGTATGAATGCTGCCATGATGGTATTCACCTGTAGTCTTGGCTACTTGGGAGGATGAGGCTGGAAGAATCACATAAGACTGGGGGACTTGGCATCCAGACTGGACAACATAATGAGACCCTGTCTCTAAAAACAAAACAAAAATTAAAAATATATATATATACTCACGGCTAATGCTGTATATTTTAATGATTAGGTAGAGGTATTACTTATTTAATGTAATTGGTTAATGAATATAGGCCTATATGCTTTAGGAATTACATTAAAATTAGATTTGGCTATTAAATGACAAAAATCCAAAAATCTATTAGATGAGATAGATGTTTATTTCTCTTATGTACACGTTTTGGGTAAGTAGAGCAGGACTGGTGTGGCCCTTTGAAGACCAGGTGTCTTCTGTATTGTTCATTTAATTATATGGGTCTCCCTTTACAACTTACTTCTGTGTTCTAAGATAGCTGATTCATATCCAGTCAGTATCTCTACATTTCAACCAACAAAGAAGAGAAAGGGGAGAAGGACATGCCTCCTACTTTTTTTTTGAGTTGGAGTCTCACTCCATCACCCAGACTAGGAGCGGCCACTGCAGCCTCGACCCACAGGGCTCTGGCGATCCTTCCGCCTCAGCCTTCCAAGTAACCGGAATTATAAGCACACACTACCCCGCCCGGCTAATTTTTTTGATTTATTGTAGAGATGAGGTCTCGCCAAGTTGCCCAGGCGGGTCTCGAACCCGCGGGCTCAGGCAATCCACTCACCTGCCCCCTACTTTTAAGGGCATTTCCTGAACATTATACATAATACCTATATCATAGTGGCTGGATCATGCCCACACTTAGTTGTAAGGGAGACAGGGAAATAAAATCTTGATTCTGGACTGCCATGTACCCTGCTTAAACTAGATGACCTCTTGTTGAAGGAGGAGAAAGTAAGTATTGCTGAACCACCAACAGTTCAGTGAAGAATTTTTTTTTAAGGTACTGCCTTATTTGTTCTTGCACAAAGGTGATTTTGTTTTTCTTAAATTTGCTACAGAATATTGCTATCATCTCAGAAGCTGCCAGCTCAGGTATTTCATTACAAGCAGATCGGAGAGCTAAAAATCAAAGACGAAGAGTTCATATGACTTTGGAATTACCTTGGAGTGCTGACAGAGCAATTCAGCAATTTGGTAAATTCCTACACTGGATGTTTCACTTAATGAATAGCTAGGAATCAATGGAAACGTGTTTGCATATCAAATCCTATGTTTGGGGCAGCCCCTTCAGGTCCCCTCCCGTTGTGGGAGCTTTTATGTCCTCTCAATAAATCCTGCTTTCTCACCTAAAAAACAATACCAAAAAAACCTATGTTTGGTCCAGATGTGGTAACTCACTCCTGTAATCCCAGCACTTTGGGAGGCTAAGGCAGATCATTTGAGGCCAAGAGTTTGAGGGTGTAATCCCAGCACTTTGGGAGGCTGAGGAGGATCATTTGAGGCCAGGAGTTTGAGAGTGTAGTGAGCTATGATAGTGCCACTGTCATGTAGGCTGGGAAGCAGGGTAAAACCCTGTCTCTTACAACAAACAACAATACCCCTATGTTTAATGTCAGACATCTTATAACTCTGTATCTTGGATTTTGCATTTAAGGTATGTTGTATATAGTGCATTGTGAATTTACTTTTTACTGGCCTTAAAATCTGTAAAAGATCTGTAGTAGGATTTTATAGGGCTCTTGGCATTATATCAAAGAGGAGGGCTCCTTGTGAGTGGCCTTCTTCAAGAACTTTTGGGTATTTGAAGTTCATCTTAGAGCAGCTGTTACTTCCATGTCCTTTTCAAACCTCTGTAGCTTCACTGAAGGCACATAGCCTTTTCTTTCCTTTTCATCTTAATGTTTCTGTGACTAGTGAAAGACAACAATTTTGGGAGATTCCAGATTGTCAGTTTGTAAGCAACTTGAGGCTAATCAAAATTGGGGTGATAGTGATAATATTTTTGTCACTGAACAGTTTTATGGCAGGTTCTGTGCCTTTGTGAAGGGGGAGCATTACTTTAAATATGGATGTCATTTAAGTCAGTCTTCTCAATTTCCTGTTGGGGAGTTATGGTAAATGTTACATTATTTATAATTTTTCTTGTTTAGGGTTTCTCAACACCGGTTTAGTGTTAAATGCTAGGAATAGATTTCAGAATATTCTGTCTTGATCTAGTGAACACAATCAGTGATGTTTAAAAAAATGTCATTACAGGACGAACTCATAGATCAAACCAAGTTACAGCTCCCGAATATGTCTTTCTGATTTCTGAATTGGCAGGAGAACAAAGATTTGCATCTATTGTTGCTAAAAGACTAGAGAGTTTGGTAAGTTTTTGAGTTGTGTAGATGTGTGTAAATGATGATCTGTGTTATCTGTCTTCTAGTACAGGGTTAAACCGTGCTTTGATTGAAATGTTTATGTTTTGATAGGGGGCGCTTACACATGGTGATAGAAGAGCAACAGAATCTAGGGATCTGAGCAGGTTCAACTTTGACAATAAGGTACATTTCTGCTTTCAGTAACTGAGAACTTGTAGTGGTGTATGGGTCTGTAGTGAGCCAAAAGGGAAAGTGGTCACCATGTAAAGCTGACAACTACCTCTCTTTATGGTTTTAAAATCATAACTTCTCGTGAGACTTAGGATTTCACATACATTAGATCATTGGCAGTCGACTTGGCAATATGATCATCTTTTTATTTTTGTTGAGAAATAGGAATATAATAAACACTTGTGAATGAATTATGTATCAGTTCCCAGACATAAAGGAATTATTAATTTTTCAAATGCAAAGGTATGATCTAGGCAGTATACAATACATATAAAGATAGTTAAGGACTGTGTTTGAACCTTAGGTACAATAGTAATTTTTATAACATTCAGATGGTCGTGTGTTAGAAGGTTATCTAAATGCTGTAACTGATTAAAATATTTTTGGTTTTTATTGCAGTATGGAAGAAATGCTTTAGAAATTGTCATGAAATCTATTGTAAACTTGGATTCTCCTATGGTTTCACCACCCCCAGACTATCCTGGAGAATTCTTCAAAGGTAATTTTAAAAAATAATCATAGCCGGGCTTGGTGGCTCAGCCTGTAATCCCAGCACTCTGGGAGGCCGAGGTGAGAGGATTGCCTGAGCCCATGGGTTCGAGACCCACCCAGGCAACTTGGCAAGACCTCGTCTCTACAATAAATCAAAAATTAGCCGGGCATGGTAGCGTGCGCCTGTAGTTCCAGCTACTTGGAAGGCTGAGGCGGAAGGATTGCCGGAGCCCAGCAGGTCAAGGCTATGGTGGCCAGGAGTGTGCCACTGCCCTCCAACCTGGGTGACGGAGTGAGGCTCCAACTCAAAAAAAATAAAAAAGTAATCTTCATAGTGGACGTTGATTACTGACAAGGATATATTTGACACTTTTTCTTAACATTTGCTGTTGTTTTTTCCTTCGGACATAAATTGTACAACACTAAGAAATTAAAGGTTACTAAAACACATAAATTTCATAAAGTAATATTACTTTGCCAAATAGATTTTAAACTTTAAATTTAGCCGGGTGCGGTGGCTCAACCCTGTAATTCCAGCACTTTGGGAGGCCGAGGCTAGGCAACTTGGTGAGACCTTGTCTCTAGAATATATCACCAAAAAAAATTAGCCGGGTGTGGTAGCATGCGTCTATAGTTCTGGCTACTTGAAAGGCTGAGGTGGAAGGATCGCCTGAGCCCAGCAGGTTGACACTGGAGTGACTGTGAGCGTGCCAATGCCCTCCAGCCTGGGTGACAGAGTGAGATTCTGACTCAAAAAAAAAAAAGTAAATTTAAAAGTTAAATAAGTACCTAGATAAATAACTTGTGAAGGTTGATGGTAGTGTGTGGATAAAACAAAATGGGCCATGCGTTTACAGTTGTTAAAAATGGACAGTGGGTACATGTGACTTATAGAATATTTTTTTCTTCTGTGTTTGTAGCTTTCCATAATTAAAAAAACTTCAAGTAGTATTCTAGAAATTTTTAGACTCACATTGCAAATCCATAGTGTAGATTATGGCCCACACTATAAGTGTAAGTACTCTAGATGATTTTGAAAGTCTAGGAAACTTTGAAAATATTTTGTAAAAAAAAAAAAGTAAATGTAAGAAAGATACTTGAATCATTGTCATTATGGAGTTAGCATTTTTCTCTAGAAAGTCCTTTAGTGTGTCAGCACACAATAATATGTGATCGTAGCAGTCCGTATTGACATTCTAGTCAGGCATGCTTATGATCACTGAAAGCTTTTGACAAACAACAACCTTATGTCCTTATTGACACAATTATTTAAACATCTAGTATTTTACTACTTGCATAAAATTGTTTCAGTTCCATGGGTGACAACTGCATAGGTGAAGATTTCCACAGTACAGGACTACTGTTGGAAAGATAAGCTTTTTTTTGAGTTGGAGTCTCACTGTGTCGCCCAGACTGGAGTGCAGTGGCTGCTCCCAGCCACCGCAGTCTCGACCTGCTGGGCTCTGGCGATCCTTCTGCCTCAGCCTTCCAAGTAGCTGGAACTACAGGCGCGTGCTACCACGCCTGGCTGATTTTTGATTTATTGTAGAGATGCGGTCTCACCAAGTTGCCCAGGCGGGTCTCGAACCCGCGGGCTCAGACAGTTCGCTCACCCCACCCTCCCAAAGCGCTGGGATTACAGGCTGAGCCACCGAGCCCGGCTAGATAAGCTATTTTAATGAAGTGATAGAATATACTGTGAACTTTGAGCACTGTAGGATTTTGGATTGGCGAAAGATCTTTGGTGACTGTGTATCTCGTTTAATTCATGAAATTGGAACTATAGAAGATATATATTATGTATGTCAGAACTTAACCTAATTTGATTAGTTATGTCAGAACTTAATCTAGTTTGATTAGCAGCTCCATTAGTCATTGGATTGTACAGTTTTTAAATAAAGTTATTTTCTTACAGATGTTCGACAAGGACTGATAGGAGTTGGTCTCATAAATGTAGAAGATCGCTCGGGAATTCTTACTCTTGATAAAGGTAGAGCTGTTAACTTTGTATGTGCATATAAGTGTCATTATAATATTAGAATCCATTCTGTTATATACAAGGGGGATCCAAAAAGCTGGAATTATTGTTTTGGTGGGTGGGCCCCTTGTAGTATAGGCTTTCCCTGCTAGGTGAGTTTTCTAGGAACCCATCGGTGTCAGTGTACCAGTTAGTGCTGTTGTGAGAGACTGCATTCGGCTTCAGTGAATTTGGTTTTGGAGATTCTTTAAACAAGTTTCCCCATTTCATGATGACTGATTTACAAGTGCACCTACTCACAACTTGCTAAGTATTCAGCAGTTTTTGACCAAAAATGGCATAAACCCCCATGTCCCATCCTCCCTTCACTTAATCTCCACCCAGATGACTTGTTTCCTCGAATGAAAAAAGTCCTCAAAGGGGGAAACGTTTTGCTAATGTGGAATAGGTGAAACAAAAAACAGCAGAAACACTAAAAGGCATCAGAATTGACAAGTTCAAAAATGGTGTTGAGCCGTGGAAAAAGTATCTCCATAGGTGTATGGCATCAAATAGAGAGTACTTTAAAGGTGACTGAAGCCGGGCTTGGTGGCTCAGCCTGTAATCCCGTGCCTTTGGGAGACTGAGGTGAGTGGATTGCCTGAGCCTGTGGGTTCGAGACCCGCCTGGACAGCGAGACGTCATCTCTACAATAAATCAAAAGATCAGCCGGGCATGGTAGCGCATGCCTGTAATTCCGGTTACTTGGAAGGCTGAGGCGGAAGGATCACCAGAGCCCAGCAGGTCGAGGCTGCAGAGGCCGGGAGCGGCCACTGCACTCCAGTCTGGGCAACAGAGTGAGACTCCAACTCAAAAATAAAAAATAAATAAAGGTGACTGAAGTTTAAACATATAAGGATAAATACACAATTTTTTATAAATAAATTCTTCTTTTTAAAGGGGTCCCCCCATATATACTTTTATAGCTGAAAGCATCAAGTCAGTACTCAGTCTATCATAAGTGAGCATTCTAGGCTGTTTTGGGTACTATGGGTATCCATAAGAGATTAAACCTCTGTTCTGTTCATGGAGAAGCAATTTTCAGCACTATCTGCAAATTTGATCAGCTGTCAAGCTTTTCAAAATTGCCCAAGCCTGAGGTAGAGCCTCAGGCATTGGTAGTTTTCCAAAGGAACCAAGCATTCTAATTGTATAGCCACAATTGAGATTCACTAATTTATATAGCACTTATGATTTTATGAATTAAAAGTTAGTGTTAAAGAACCAACATTCCAGCCAGGCTCGGTGGCTCAGCCTGTAATCTTTGCACCTTTGGGAGGCTGAGGTGAATGGATTGCCTGAACCCATGGGTTCGAGACCCGCTTGGGCAACTTGGCGAGACCTCATCTCTACAATAAATCAAAAATCAATCGGGCGTGGTAGCACGTGCCTGTAATTCTGGCTACTCGGAAGGCTGAGGCGGAAGGATCGTCGGAACCCAGTGGGTCGAGGCTGCAGTGGCCAGGAGCGGCCACTGCACTCCAGTCTGGGTGAGGGAGTGAAACTCCAACTCAAAAAAAAAAAATTTTTAATTCGAAAAATTTTTTTGAGTATATAATGTAGTGATACTGATTGCTAGAGGTAGAAATGGGCAGATTATCAATGTGTTGTTGGGACAGAACTAGAGCTGGGAGGGAAGACTTCAGAACAAAGAGTAGGACTTGAAGTAGGCCTAGATGCATAGCAATTTTTAGATTATCATTTAAGTGTATAAACGCATTCATTTCTTGTCATTACAGATTACAACAACATAGGAAAATTCTTAAATAGAATTTTGGGCATGGAGGTGCATCAACAGAATGCATTATTTCAGTATTTTGCAGATACACTTACTGCAGTTGTTCAAAATGCCAAAAAAAATGGAAGATATGATATGGGTATTTTAGGTAAGTGGGAAAGTTTCTTTTTCCTAACACCCTAGGGAATTTGAACATTTGGGAAATTTTTAAAATATCAAGTGTGTACCTGATAAAAATGTACTTTTTTCTGGACACAGTAGCTCACACCTGTAATCCCAATACTTTGGGAGGCCAAGATGGGAGGATTGCTTGACCCCAGGAGTTTGAGACCTGCCTGGTCAACATAACAAGACTTCGTCTATAAAGAAATTAAAAAAAATATTACCTGGGTGTGGTAGTGCAGGCAGCTGTAGTCTCAGGTACTCAATGGCCTGAGGTGGAAGGATTGCCTGAGCCTGGATGGTCAAGGCCGTGTTGAGCTGTGACCATGCCATTGTACTCCAGCCTGGGCGACAGAGTGAGACTCTGAATCAAAAAAAAAAGTTCTATTGTATGTTGCTTTTTCTTGTTCAAGATCTTGGTTCTGGAGATGAAAAGGTCAGGAAAAGCGATGTTAAGAAGTTTCTGACTCCAGGATATTCAACCTCTGGCCATGTAGAATTATACACAGTAAGTTTGGAAAATGTACATGTTGAAGCTTAGTTCTCCTGTGAGAGGCATTTACATAGGTGAGCTTAAATCTTGTTTCTTTTACAGATTAGCGTAGAAAGGGGAATGTCATGGGAGGAAGCTACCAAGATTTGGGCTGAGCTGACAGGACCAGACGATGGCTTTTACTTGTCATTGCAAGTACGACTTTTCCTTTAAATGTTAACTGTTCATATGTAATGGTTTTTAATTGCCAGCACTGTAATTGTTGCTTCACTTTGCCAATTTTCTACTTGTGTATAACTCTATTTTGATAATTTATTATTATGTTTGTGGGTTTGTCTATGTGTATTTTTGCTTTATATATTTTGAGGGATGTTATTAGTTGTAAGTTTAGAATTGTTACATTTTCTTAGTAAGTCCAACTTTTTTCACAATTTAATGACTTTAGTCTTAGTAATGCTCTTTGTCTTAAAGATTCATATTTTAAGGCCGGGCTCGGTGGCTCAGCCTGTAATCCCAGCACTTTGGGAGGCCGAGGCAAGTGGATTGCCTGAGCCCATGATTCCCTAGGGTTCGAAACCCACCTAGGCAACTTGGCGAGACCTCGTCTCTACAATAAATAAAAAACTAGCCGGGTGTGGTAGTGCATGCCTGTAGTTCCAGTTACCCGGAAGGCTGAGGCGGAAGGATCGCTGGAGCCCAGCAGGTTGAGGCTGCGGTGGCCGGGAGCGTCCCACCGCACTCCAGTCTGGGCGACAGAGTGAAACTCCAACTCCAAAAAAAAAAAAAAACAAATTACTATTTTAGTTAATATTATCATTGCATTGTTTTAGTTATTATTTATTTGCCTGTGGACAGAACTAAGGCGAGAAAATGTGTGTATGTGTATTATATATGCACACACATATGCATATGAACATACACGTGCATGCATGTATGCATACATACATTCATATATGGCACAATATCGAGTTCATTTTGAAATGTCTTATTCAAATCCGAGACCACACAATTCTTTTTGTGAGTCAGTCTTACTCTGTTGCCCAGGCCTGGAGTACAGTGGCTTGCTTGTAGCCACCACAGCCTCGACCAACTGTCAGGTGATTCTGTCAAAAAATTAGTCGGACATGGTGGCACACGCCTGTACTTCTAGCTACTTGGAAGACTGAGGTGAAGGGATTGCCTGAGCCCAGCATGTTGAAGCTGTGGCGACTGTGAGCACAGACAGAGTAGTGACACTCCAGCTCAAAAAAAGCCAAAATGTTTTCTGAATTACATTTTTATTTGAAATGTTCTTAGTATTGTTTTTTTTAGTGTTTCTCCTTTACCAGGACTCTTGTTATACATTTATTAGATTTTCTTTCCATATCTGTTTTGTTCTGTATGAGACAAAGTCTCTCTGTGTTGCCTAGACTGGTGTGCAGTGGTGTGATCATGGCTTATAGCATCTTTAAACTCCTGTTCCCAAGGGATTCTTTTGAGCATGCCAAATAACTGAGACTACATGTGCACACCACCACGCCAAGTTCATTTCTGTATTTTTTATTTGGTAGAGATGAGGTCTCTACCAACTCGGCCAGGCATGAGCCACCATACCCAGCCATTTTTTTAAATAGTTATTTTCTCTTGAATTATTTTTGTCTTTTTTCTAACTGCTTTATGAAATATGATTTGTATATTATACAATTCATCCACTTAAGCATACAGTTCATTGAGTTTTGTTGTATATTACATTTTTAGGTTTCTTTCTTTTTTTAATTTTTAATTTTGTCAGAATCTCACTCTGTTGCCCAGGCTGGAGTGCAGTGGCACGCTCACAGCCACTGCAGCCTCGACCTGCTGGTTTCAGGCGATCCTTCCACCTCAGCCTTCCAAGTAGCTAGAACTACAGGTGTGCCCCACCATGGCTGGCTAATATTTTTTTTTTATTGGAATCTCATTCTGTTGCCTAGGTTGGAGTGCAGTGGCACGCTCATAGCCACTCCTCCACCTGCTGGGCTCAGGTGATCCATCCGCCTCAGCCTTCCAAGTAGCTGGAACTACAGATGCGCTGCCACACTTGGCTTATTTTTTTTATTTGTTGTAGATACGAGATCACGCCAAGTTTCCCAGGCTGGTCTTGAACCTCTAGGCTCAGAAAGTCCTCTCGCTTCAGCCTCCCAAAGTGCTGGTATTACGGGCTTGAGCCATCGCATCCAGCCCTTAATCATTTCCTTAATTGGTGGACATCTACATTTATTTATATGGGAAAAAATCATCTTGCAATCTTTTTTTTAAAAAAGTAAATCAGCTTATAATCTTTTTAAAAAGACTAAAGCTTATACTTTATTCAGGCTTTCTTAGTTTTTACCTAATGTTCTTTTTCTGTCCCGGGATTTCATCTGATGTATCTCATTGCATTTCTGTCTCATTAGATTTCTTTTGACTTTAGTAGTGTCTCAGGCTGGGCATGGTTGTTCACCCCTATAATCCCAGCACCTTAGGAGGCTGAGGTGAGAGGATTGCCAGAGCCCATGGGTTCGAGACCAGCCTGGACAACTTGGCAAGACCTCATCTCTACAATAAATCAAAATATTAGTTGGATGTGGTGGTATGTGCCTGTAGTTCCAGCTACTTGGAAGGCTGAGGTGAAAGGATTGTCTTAGCCAAGCAGGTTGAGGCTGCAGTGGTCGTGAGTGTGCTACTGCACTCCAGCCTGGGTGACAGAATGAGACTCCAACTCAAAAAAAAATTTTTTCTCACACTTCTTGTTTTGTTGTTGTTTTTTTTCTAAATTTTAGGTTCAAGGGGTACATGTGCAGATTTGTTACATGGGTATTTTGAGTGTTGGTGAGGTTTGGGCTTCTTTTTTATTGTTGTTGCAGGGGGCTTCCTTTGAGTTCATCACCCAAATGGTGAGCACGGTACCCAATAGGTTGTTTTTTCAACCCTTGCCACCCTCTCCAGGAATCTCCAGTGTCTGTTGTTTTTATTTCTATGCCCATGTGTACCCAGCATTTAGGTTCTCTCTATATATATTTTGAGTTGGAGTCTCACTCTCGCCCAGGCTAGAGTGCAGTGGTATGATCATGGTCACCACCACCTGTGCTGAGATGATTCTTCCACCTCAGCATCCCAAGTAAACTGGGACTACAGGCACGTGCCACCATGCCTGGCTAAATTTTGGATTTTTTTGTAGACGCAAGGTTTTGCCAAGTTGCTCAGGCTGGTCTTGAACTCTTGTGCTTAAGGATTCCACCTGCCTCAGGCTCCCAAAGTGCTGGGATTACAGGTATAAGCTACTGTGCCCAACCAGCTCCCACACTTTAAACATTTTTAAGTGTACAGTTCAGTGGTATTAATTACATTCACATTGTTGTATAGTCACCACCACTACCTGTTTTCCAGTCTTTTACATCAGAAACTGTAACCATCAAGCTGTAACTCTCCATTCCCCCTCCACTAGCCCCTGGTCACCTCCTGTCTACTTTTGGTTTCTCTGAATTTGCCTGTCTAGGTAACCTCATATAAGTGAAATTATACTGTATTTGTTCCTTTTTCACTGAGCTTAATGTTCTTCAGGTTTGTTCATATTATAGTATATATCAGAAATGTTGCTTCATTTTTTGTTTAAAAGGACTGAATAATACTTGATTGGTTGTATGTACATTCTGCTTTATATTCACAAATATTTATGGAAGTAACTATATAAAGAAGACCATGAGTAGTGATACCATAGGCAGGGTGAGGCTATCAGTGAACTGTCTAGAGCAGGAGTCCCTTAAATTTTTCTGGAAAGGGTCATGCAGTCCATATGTTAGGTTTTGTAGGCCATATATGGTCCTTGTTGCAGGTCCTTTTCTGTTTTTCTTCCTTTCTCCTTTCTTCCCTATCTTTTTTCCTTCCCTCTATCTGTACTTAAGATTAGGAGCCTTAGGCTAGATCTGCTCCACGGGCCAATCTTGCTGGTCCCTGATTTAGAGCAAAACCCTCAAATGATCTGACTCCTAGATCCTAAATTCTGAAATACTTATCACAACTATAGAGTCATTCACATGTTGTTAAGAAACAATATGGAGAAACTCCTTTTATACTTTACTCAATTCCCCCATTAGTAACCTTTTGCAAAATTACAGTGTAATGTCACAGCTGGGATATTGACATTGGTACAATTCACCTATTATATACACCTATCCCTCTTAGACACAATTTTGATTGGTCCACATAAGTTGTTCATTATTGTTTGTTTTTTGAGAAAGGGTCTCCCATGTTGCCTCACCTGGTCTTGAACTCCTGGGCTCATTCCTCCCACATCAGTTTCCCAAGTAGTTGAAATTACAGCAAGCACATGCCACCATTTTCAGCTCTTGGTTATTGTTTGTAATTTGAAATTATTGGCAGACTTTCACCATTGGTAGTTTGTGATGAAAGTCCTGATCCCCAGCTTCCCTTAGGGGGAAGGCTGGTAACACTGATGCTTCCTTCTCTACGTGGCAACAGGTGGCAGACAGTGAGGATTGGTGGCCCCAGAGGGACCATTCCAGGGCTGTGTGGCTATTTGCCTGTGAACCTCCACAGTATTAAGCAGACATGTTTTTCAGTGTGTGTACCATGTGCTACCATTAGGAAAACTGTCAGAATCACTTTCCACTGTGCTGTGATGATTTAAATTTTTATTACCTGACACTGTTAAGACCTCTTACATTGTTGAATACCTTAAGTTCTGTTTCTGTAAGTAAAGGTTTAGTTGTTTCCCATCAAGTGATTAAAGCAAATTTAACGTAGTTTTCACCTTTATCATTATTTTATGACTTTACAGTAATTGTAGAAAACAATGTTTCGGGGCCCGGTGCAGTGGTTCAATCCTGTAATCCCAGCACTTTGGGAGGCCAAGGTGAGAGGATTGACTGAGATCAGCCTGGGCAACTTGGTGAGACCTTGTCTCTACAATAAATGAAAAAATTAGCTGGGCATGGTTGTGCACACCTGTAGGCAGCTACTTGGAAGGCTGAGGCAGAAGGATCGCCTGAGTCCAGCAGGTTGAGGCTGCAGTGGCCGTGAGCGTGCCCCTGCATTCTAACCTAGATAAGTGAGACTCCATCTCAAAAAGGAAAAAAAAAAAGGAAAGAAATAATGTTTCACATTTTTGTTCAAATGAACAAATAAAAAACAACATCCCTAATATCTATGAAGAGGAGAATAAAATAGTGTCTTTTTCTTTTATCATTATAATAATGTAAAATGTTAATAGATTAGCAAACAATGATTGTGTAGAGAAGACCTGTGAAAGCGCCAATATTTTGAAACTTTTTTCTGTTGTGATGGTCTCGCTCTGTTGTCCAGGGTGGAGTACAGTGACATGATCATAATAGGTCACTGCAACCTTCAACTCCTAGGCTCAAGCAATCATACCTCCTCAGTCTCAAGAATAACTGGGAGCCGGGCTCGGTGGCTCAGCCTGTAATCCCTCGCCTTTGGGAGGCTGAGGTGAGTGGATTGCCTGAGCCCGAGGGTTTGAGACCCGCCTGGGCAGCGAGACCTCATCTCTACAATAAATCAAAAAATCAGCTGGGCGTGGTAGCGCATGCCTGTAATTCCAGCTACTCAGAAGGCTGAGGCGGGAGGATCGCCGGAGCCCAGCAGGTCGAGGCTGTGGTGGCCGGGAGCAGCCAATGCACTACAGTCTGGGCGACAGGGTGAGACTCCCACTCAAAAAAAAAAAAAAGAATAGCTGGGAGTATAACCATTAAAAAAAATTTTTTTGGTAGAGATGAGGTATTGTTGGTCTCAAACTCTTGGCCTCAAGTGATCCTTCTGCCTTGGCTTCCCAAAAGTGTTGAGATTAAGGTTTGAGTGAGCCAGTGCCCCCAGCCCTGAAACTTTTCTTTTTCCTTCAGTTTTGCTCTAGAGATTATTTCCTGGAAGCTCTTCATCATTCATTAAAATGGAATGAATTTTTAAATTTTGTTTTTACCTGGGTTAAATGGAACTTTTTAAAGCTTCTTTCTCTTAGAACTTCCTTTATAAATTCAACTGTTAAAAACTAAAACTAGCCAGGCTCGGTGGCTCAGCCTGTAATCCCACGCCTTGGGAGGCTGAGGTGAGTGGATTGCCTAATCCTGCGGGTTCGAGACCCGCCTGGGCAACTTGGCGAGACCTCATCTTTACAATAAATCAAAAAATCAGCCAGGCGTGGTAGCACGTGCCTGTAGTTCCAGTTACTTGGAAGGCTGAGACGGAGCCCAGCAGGTCGAGGTGGCAGTGGCCAGGAGCGGCCACTGCACTCCAGTCTGGGCAATAGAGTGAGACTCCAACTCAAAAAAAAAAAGCTAAACTAAAACTTATATACCTGAGTTCCAAAGTTTCTCTAGTATTTAATTTTCTTTCATTTTTATGTACATAGATATGAATAATTTGTTCAACATTTGGGCTTTATATTGTAGCTTTGCTGTGTACAGAACACTTTTGACTGGATGTAGTAGCTTATACCTGTACTCCCAGCACTTTGGGAGGTGGAGGCAGGAGGATTGCTTGAGCCCAGGAGTTTGAGACCAGACTAGGCAACATAGTGAGATCTCTTTTCTTTTTTTAAAAATTTGATTGGAGTCTCGCTCCGTCTCCCAGACTGGAGTGCAGTGGCCGCTTCTG